TTTCCGCTGGAGTGACCATGGAAAACGCAAACCTAGAGAGAAAAAAAACAGACAAGCCTAAGTCTAGAAAGTCTGCGGTGAGATGTCAAAAATATTAAAGCCGATTGGGTAATTTAACAACTACTAGCAAATCATTTAGATTCAGAGGAATAAATCGGAAGTTATTTGGATAGGCTGGAGGCACGGCGAATGGTAACAAGTATTAAAAGATAATTTTGGGAAAAGAGTCAAGTCATGACTCTCATACAGATACACGTGTTAAAGGTCTTGTTAATTTGTTTAATGAGGAAGCCAGTGAGGATGTTACAACTAGATCAAAGGAAGATCCGAAGAATGGGTCAGAATATTGAAACAGGCAAAACTGGGGTTTTATGTGGCAGAGGGGAACAGGGTTGTTGCTTCAACGGATAGAATTCATTTGTATGGCTATGAATGAGAACATGTCACATTGTTATCAGCTACTACAATTTACAAAGTTCTAAGATAGCCCAAACAGTGCATGGCGTTTCCTTGAAAGACAACTTTTTCCCTACTTTCTACCCCGACCCTATGCATTTGACCGGTTACTCACACTGCATCTCAGTGGCTAGATGCAGCGAGGTGACTTCCTGCATAGACGGTATACCAGTTTCATGGTTCCGATGGGCGTAGTCCTCCAGGCACCTGAGACGAGATTGATCCAGCCGTAGTCATACAGAGCATAAACAGTCTGGGAGGGAGTGACTTAATTCATCGGCAGATGTTTCATGCCAGTGAAAAAGAATGATGGTGTATGTGAGAGAATGGAATCTGAAGCATGCACGTCCTTTAAAGATCACTCGTAGCTATTCTTGCAATGGTTTAGACCCAGAGCAGAACTGTTCGGACCTGCAGATTGAATATCTGGACCTAAGGCACACCTTTCGAAGCTGTGTGGGGCACTTCCTTTCAGTGACGATTCCATGGTCTTTGGTTTGGTTTTGCATATGCACAGGATTGGGGGGAGGGAATAGGTGATGGGGCTGCTCTGTGGTTTTCTGCGATTCTAAGTCACTTAATACAAAATTCTAGAGAAACTAAATGAGATTATTTTAGGAAGAACATTCGGGGGAAAGTGTTTACTTCCTGAATCATCTGTGTTTTAGAAAGATTTGAATCTGGTTGTCTGTTTTGTTTAATGGAGTTCCAAAGAAGGTCACTGCGGAAGAAGGTGGGTTCCAGTGAAAAAAGCCACCAGAAAAGGGTTGGCTTCGGTGCATAAAGCCATTGCTCCTGGCAGGGGGACTGGAGACTCTGACGAAAGGAAGGAGCGTTGTGACAGGGACCCATGAGGCAGGCAGCAGGAAGGAGCAGAAGTTGGATCTAAAGGCAGGAAGCCAGACTTGGTTCTCAAAAGAAGTAAGCTCAGGGCATGGAAGGAACAGGTAACACTGATTCTATCTCTATCATTTTGAAGAATGTTACATGTGGCCAGACTTACAGGTTTTCGGCCAGTCTTAGCTTTGATTTATGGGCATTCTGAATTTTCCATTCTGAGTTTTCTAGGACAGACACAATGTCAAAGATCCTATTCTGTTTTCAGACTAGCTACAAGCCTTGTCAGGATGTGGAGTTTGGAAAAAAACTTAGTCATCGAAGCAATAGAAGATGTCCAGGGCGTGGAGTCCTACACAGTAAAATGCTTTGAAGGGGAAAGGGAAGGGAAAATGTATTTTTTAAATAATTTTTATTTTTTTTTTCAATTATAGTTGACATACATCATATTAATAGACTTTTATATAAACTTATGAAGTGATCACCC